CCGATCATGGCGAAGCGCGGAGAGCTCCCTGCTCCTGCCAAGCACCTTTGCTGCAGACCCGAGACCTTTGGCGCCTGCCGCTGTTGCTTTCCCTTCTGCATTTGGAGCTGCCGCTTCTGCGTTTGGAGCTGCTGCCGCTATTTGGAGCGTGTTTCCATACTCCGCCATGATCACCCATTAGGAGCGGCTGGTGGCGAGGCATGGCTGCCCATGGGGCCTTTAGAGGAGGATGCAATGGGGGGGGGATTAAATCACCCCTGAAAAGACAGCCTAGCCCTTTTTTCGGGGTTCAAAAAAAAAAAAGACCCAGCCTTATTTTATGACAAACACGATATATATGTATATGTATATAAACTGTCAGTAAATTTCTCCTTAGTTCTAACCCAGGGGTGGGATCCGACAGGGTTAAGTACTGGTTCAGTGATTTATGATGTGCTTCCCTGCAAGCTGCACGTGTGTGTAAATCTTTGTCAGCTTGCTGCCTGGACAGCTGAGTAGCGCTGCGTGCAGGGAAGCTGTGTTTGAAAAAGCACTTTTTTCCTGCTTTTTCAACCACAGCTGTGCCTCGCATGGCATCTGAGGTTGAAAAAGCAGGAAGTAAAGATCAGGTAAGAGCCCGGGTGGGTGGGTAAGTAGACAAAAACATCAGCAGACATAGAACCGGTTCTATGTCTGCTGCTCTTCAGAGCTACCGATTCTACAGAGTTGGACAGAATCGGTAGAATCCCACCCCTGCTCTAACCTCAGGGATTCAGGTAAGAAATGTGGGGATTCAGGTAAGAAAAATGGGACAAAACTCACTTAAGAAACTTCTCATGTAGCCACATAAATTCTGGGCTGACTTGCAGTTATAAGTCGAGGACTAACTGTATATAAATAAAGGGGGGTGGGGTCAGGGAAGGAAATCCTTTCAGATTTGCAAGAGTCTAATAAACCTTCCAATAAAGTTAGCTCTTCTGGATCTTGTCTAGTTTACCTAGCAAGGCTGATAGATCCCCACTGTCCATGTAACCCAGGGGTGTCAAACTCAATTTCATTGAGGACCGCATCACAGTTGTGTTTGATCTTGGGAGCCTTGGGTGGGTATAGCCAGCTTGACATCAATCGTGTTGGGGCAGCCTGTGGCGGCCCAAGCACTCTGTCAGCAAAAACGGGCTCTCCAACTTTGCTGGAACCCTGGACAATAAAGATAGAGGTACTACTTTTTGTGGTCTGCCAGCGGCCAGAGGAGCTGGCAGCAGATTCAGACAGTGAGGAAGTTTGGGGAGGAACATGGGCCAGTCCTGGAGTCTGGGGAAGGCTCTGACAAGGGCTCTGCATCGGAGGCAGAGATGGGGCCAGGGCCATCCGACAGTTATCAGCTGCCTTTGGAGTCGGAGATCAGTGAGGAAGAAGAACAGCTGGAGCCTGTTCCTGATGTACACATGCGCAGAGCTGTCAGAAGAAGGGTACAGTTAAGGATCAATGGTCGACTCGGGAGTAAAGGCACAGGTGCGCGGTGAATGGCCCCTCCCATAGGGGATAAAAGAGGAGCAAAAGGGGAGTGGGGTTTGCGGGAGACAATTAGTTCAGTTCATTAGGGTGAAGATCTGTTCCTGATTTCTTGCCAAATATTTTCTGCTACAGAGTGGCGTTTGGAATATACCGGCCTGGCAGCTCTCCAAGCCTGATAAAGGTCTGTAGTTGTGAAATCTTTTGAAAGACTGTTGGCCAGGACTTTGCTGAAGAGGAATTCTCTTTAACCTAAATAAAAGGGGTTTTATCGGGATGAGGAGTCGGCTTTGTGCTTTCGGGAAGCCTAGGTCTAAACAGCTCCCAACCTCTCTTTTCAGCTGTGACAACTTCTTGCAATCCTCTGCCAGCCACATGCGGCCCCTCCCAAGCTCTGTTTTTGCTGACAGAGGCGCTGCGTGCCGGTCCTTCGCTGTTTCTGTTCTGACCCAGGCTTAGTAAACCGGAATTATTCACAAACTTGTTTTAAAAATCAAACCTGTTTCATTGCAACGCTGGGAATTGTTTTCATTCCCAGCCGGAATTAAACTCAGACAGTCCCCCAAGATAAGCGCACACACCTTTCAGTTCTGAGAAGTGCTGCCAAAAACAGAAGTATCAAATGAACTAGAAAAGAAACCAACCAAAGTACAAGAACAAACCAACCAGAGTACATAAGAGCTTCCAGAGTGACTCGGAACCGATCGAACTACTTTGCTTCCTGCAAAGGTTTCGTCATCTCAGCCTGACTTTTATCCCTTATGGGAAGGGCAATCACCTCTCAGCTCCTTATTCCCGAGTCGCCCCTTTTGTTTCAGCTGCTCTCGCCTTCTAGCAGCTGTGCGCACAAGCGCACTGGGAACAGGCTCCCCTGGGTCCTCTGCTTCACTGCTGTCAGACTCCGGAGGCTCCAGAGGTAGCACCCCATTCCCAGATAACCCTGGCCCCATCTCTACATCGGATGCAGGACCCTTGTCCGAGTCCTCTCCAGACTCCCAACCTGGTCCCTTTTCTCGCCCACTGTCCGATTCTGTTGCCAGCTGCACTGTCTGCTGGCGAACCACAACAGGCCTTGAGTTAGACACCCCTGATGTGACCGATCTCCCACGATCCGGTGTGGCTTGGTACACAGTAGATCACCTACAGGTGGCTTTTGAGAGTCTTGGCTCTCCTCTTTTCAAGACCTCCAAAAGTTCTTGCCCAATGGTAACGTTTCGTGTGACAGAAGGGGAAAATAATTAAATGCATGACTGCGGATTAATCACATTAAGTACATTTAGTTTTAATTAAATTTACATTTAAATGAAGTCAGATCTAATTTAGTTTCAGCTTGGTCTTTCACCTGCTACTCTTGGAGAGCTGTCTCCGGCTAAGCCACGGATGACTGTCCCTGGTATGCCTTCCTCCAATGAAATCTGAACTCAGAATTTATTTTGCTGTTGCTCTGAAGAAGATGCCTAACTTGTGTCCATAGACGTTGTCCTCTAAACCCGCCCAACATCATCTTTGGGGTCTTACCAGTTCTCTATGCAACAGGGAAAAAGAGAGAAGTACAGGTTGGTTGGTTCGTTCGTTGACTATAGACCATCAAGTCATTTTTTTACTCAGAATAAAGTAGAGTAGAGTAGGATAGGATAGGATGGGATAGCATAGGATAGGAAAGGGTAGGGTAGGGTAGGGTAGGGTAGGATAGGATAGAGTATATGATAGCATAGGTCAGGTCAAACACAACAGAACAGAAATATGGGATGGGATGGGATGGGAGGAGAGAAATAGAAGAGAATATATAGAGTAGAGTAGAATAGAATAGTAGACTAGAATAGAATATAGGAATAAGAATAGAATATAGGAAATAGAATAGAATATAGGAATAAGAATAGAATAGAATAGAATATAGGAAATGGAATAGAATAGAATATAGGAAATAGAATAGAATATAGGAATGAGTAGAATAGAATAGGAATAGAACAGAACAGAATAGAATATAGGAATAAGAATAGAATATAGGAATAAGAATAGAATATAGGAATAGTGGAGTGGAGTAGAGTAGAGTAGAATAGAATATGACAGAATAGAGTAGAGTAGAGTAGAGTAGAGTAGAGTAGAGTAGAGTAGAGTAGAATAGAATAGAATAGAATAGAATAGAATAGAATAGAATAGAATAGAATAGAATA